GCACACGCCGCACGCGCCACCTATCGCACGATTGCGATGAAAGATTGGAGCGCGCAATTTGTGAGGTAGGGAGTCCTTTAATCATTTGAATTCGCTGGTCGCTCCCTTCAATTTCAATGCGGTATTGATCGTCGTTTATATAAGAGGAGTCATTTTAATTAATCAAGTCTAATAAACATGAAAACTAAAAAGAAACAGAAGAAAAAACGATAAAATCCAATGAAAAAGCAAGCCAGTCAAGGAAAAATATCGCGTCCTATCGATTTTCGGGAGGCGGGGTGAGTACGGTATTGCAGTGACATTTGCCGCATGCCGCAAGGGAGAATGCCGCGATAGGGGAGAAGTTCCGTTACCCCCGGGACTAGCACAGCAGAGCTCTACGCAATGTCGCAATGGAACAGCTCGTCCAAATGCCCTTCACACACAGCTTTCGTCACCACATTCTCGTCCAACCCCTGATTATACTAGTTCATTGAATCCATATATTTCTCTAAATACGCCGATTTCCGCGTTTTCTTCGACTTTTTTGCATCATTCTGGGTTATGTGGCACATGTGAATGTGAAAAGCAATCCTCCCTGTCGTACTTTTTTCATTAGGTTAAAAAGACGTTGACAGAATCACTTCCAGGAGGTAAAGGTATTATGTTCGTAACTGCCAGCACTATTTTTTCTAATTTCCTGCTGCACATGTATAGTGGCCACTGTAAAGAATTACGAATTGTTCTAAAAATATAAGTTTGTTTTTTTTTTCGCCGCAGCCCGGTTAAAATGAATTTTTCAGGAGTTGAGTATACCGTTGAACTCAAGCTCTACAGTTGTCGAGGGTCATTCCAAGCCATGAAAGCTTCATTATCAGAGGCTTGATCTGAGGCTTATTCTCAAAATTTTGAGGTTACGTCGTCCTATCATGGGAAAATATCCGTGGAATCGATAAGCGATTCCGAATTACAGTCAGTGTTCTGCGGAGGTGTACTTTTGAGGAAGGAACCGATAAATACTGAGGAACTAACCACTTTTTATTTGCCTACCGAGACATGCCAGTACAGACAATGCTGATTCCCCTGATCGAATGCAATGGAATGGTTCATAGACCATTTCCGTACTCAGACTCTTGTTCTTGATGGCTCCCTTGTGTAATGTAAGTCGTCGCTTCATAACATGGAAATGAAATTGGAAAATGTTGTTGGGGGGTGACAGCGCCCTTTTCTGCTCTGCGTCCCTGACACCTGTGGGCAGGGTGCATAGAGACCGCGCTAGAGTGCAGAGACGGTTTCCTCTCTTTCTGAGTTATGGAAAGTGCTCCGGGGTGGGTGGATGAGCCATTTCGATGTTCGATTCTTAACCCATCCCAGCTTTTCGCTCGAGATAATGATCTCACTCAGGAAGCGGAGATAGGGTAAGAGCCGAGCATCGAAGTGACTCATCCACCCGGAGCTCCTTCCCTAACTTTGAGAAGGAGAGGAAACCGTTTCTGCACACTGGAGCGGTCTCTATGCACTTTGCCTACTACATTTCACACAATTTCATTTCTATGTTATGAAGCGACGACTAACATTACACAAGGGAGCCAACAAAAACAAGAGAAGTCCAAGTATGGAAATGATCTATGTGACCACTTCCGATTAGAATCGATCGCTTCGATTTTCCTGCAGTTCTTTCTCGCACGCTATCACGGACTCATTTTCTGGTGATATCATATTCTATGGTCTTCCAGCCATGAACGCTTATCTTTTCTATGTTATGCTCGATTGCATGCATTATATTCATTTTCTACTGAATAGAAATTAGAAATTAGGTACAATGAATTTATCCTGATTCTTTGCTTCATAAGACCGTCACTCTTCCAGAAACTCTCCCAACAAATTGGTTAGCTGGACAGAGTACGAAGAATTCCTGTTTCCTGAATTTGTCCTTTCTCGATGCTCGAGTAGAATTTGGTCCTTCATGAAAGTGTTCGGGAGACGGTACGAACGTGCGTCCTAGGGTGCGCGCGGCAAATTGCGCGGCGAAGTTCGTGACGATTTGTACGGCTGCGGCGCCAATTTTCGGGGCACAAACTCGAAGTAGTGTAGCCTAG